AAAAAAAAAAAAAAAAAAAAAAAAAAAAAAAAAAAAAAAACCAACAAGGAAAACCCGTAGCCCATGTGTATGTGAATTTCGTCGTACCCCACGCGTACGGTGTACACTTTCTCACGCTCCTTTGAACAAAGTTCAAATCAAGTGATTACATATACGCAAAGTTTACCGTGTACAGTTTGTTGTTATCACGCAGCTAATATTTGTATTCACGATTCTCTGGTGGCGCACAACAGCCGCAACAGTATACGCATCTTCCGTATACACCTACACTACACGGAGATAACAACGGGGAAAAATTATATCGCACACGTTTTTGTGTACCTTTCAAAAGCCCTCGGGTACAGTCCTTATACTCATCGTTAATATTAACAGATATCTCTTTACTTTTTTTTTGTACATAATATATATTTGAGCAAATGAAGAAAAAAAAAAAAAAGAAAAAAAAAAAAACTCCTTGCTCACGAAATCACACGAGAGTTTAAGCGCGAGGTGTTAATCTCCTCTCACCCCCTTTTCGAAGTAAAAAGACACTATAGTTCGGTACACTTCGAGAGTGTACAAGACCCAGGTGCAATCACACACATTCGCGCTTGGCCATCGAGTCCCCATTAACATCGGACGTACAGCAACAAACAACGGAATCCCTTGCGATATTTCGTTTCACGGCGCACGCAAATGGACACGTATACACTCGCGCATCCGAAACGGCTAATTTTTCCCTCCCCACTCCCACACCAACTTCGCGGTCTATTACAGAGTGTGTTTTGTATAGGTGTACAAAGAGGGGCCAGCTGGCTAGCCCGTTATACGTGAAAGCGTGCACGCGTCTATATATTACAACGTAGGTACGCAACATTCGAGCTCGTTGCGAGAGGGAAATAAGGACGCTCCGATTTCCTCCGGGACGTTAATTACCGATGCGTGGATCCGAGCTGCGTTAGCCGTTAGCGCGGCTCCAGCTTCTTTTTACCTTTATTCGACTGCAGCTCGCGGTCTTCTGTTGTGCGTTAAATAATGCCTACACGCGCGAGTTCAATTGAGAAACGTGGGCCGATCGTGTCCTCGATATTAGCGTTACATTACTGTTAATCGATTGCAAAAGCGCCTTCATCTAGGCAAAACGATTTTTTATTTTTTCTCTCGTTAAAATATTTGTACAAATAATCGTGTCACCTCTACTACAAACAATACGCACACCTATGGGTGACAAATATACAGGCTAATATCCTTGTGAAAGAGATAAGGGAAGGAGTTGGCATGAGTATGTAATATAAGGTTGACGAACAGAGCGAGGCAAATGTAGTTTTGCACTGGAAATTCGATATGTTATAATGCGACCGCGAGCCAGATAAAGCTAGAGATTACACATTGTGCAACTACATTTGCCTGTACACCTACCACTGAATATACTATATTGAATTACGCGTTGCTACGGCTGCTGCAATTTGTATACTCTCCGTGTTTTTTGTGGCCTTTTTATACTACTTTCTACGCGTGTATTAACAACACAACGGAATATGACTATTATATATCTACGTACAACTCGACAGTTGGGGGAGGGACGCGCCCAACTTGCCGCGTAAATTCCATCATCGACGAGGTACTCGTCACTCTTGAAAAATTGGGATCCAAGTGCACATAGAGGAGGAAAAATGATCTCTTCAATGAGTGCAAGCAGTACATACCTCGTAAAGGGGTAAGCTTAAATCGAGCAAAATGAAAACACACACTCGCGAAAAAAAGCGGTGTAGCTTGTGTACCCACGTATATACCCATAAAGGGACCATTTACCAAGAACAAGCGTAATAAAAATATAACTATACTTCATATTCTCTCGGAACGCGCGTATACGTGTACATTTATACACGGGCTCGTGAATGCCGGCTATTTAATATTCAGAAAAGTAGATCAGAAAAAGCCAATCGCCTGCAAAGCCATACGAGTTTCATGCGACATCGAGTCGCACACATTATATATATAAACTTGTAGAGTCGCAGAAAACACACCAACATCGACCCTCGGACGCATCCTCGACTCGAATGATAATCGGGGAAAAATTTTAATTACGATACGCATTATCTCTCTTTCCATCGATCCCCGGCTCCATAATGGTGTACGTATATGTATAAACTTTTTTTTTGCCCCTCTGCGAGTCTTGGTTGTTTGCTACCAGCTTATGCGCGCTGATTGCAAATGAACGAGTTGGTCAGCGCTGTATACCCGAGCAAAAAGTTGCTCGACAGCAACGACCACGAAACATTAACGATCGTGGAAAATAATACGTATACATTTCATTTTTTTTTCGCCGATTCATCATATCATGTACATTGTGAATTTACTTAAAATATGCCTCGCCGTAAAAAAGTAACATAGTATAGTGTTGGTAATGAGAAATAATGAAAAAAAAAATTGACATTACAGCCGTGTGCAAGGAGGGGTGTCACCCGGTGCACGGCCACTGCAACGTGTCGGGGGAGTGCAAGTGCCGGCACGGCTGGCGGGGCGAGCTCTGCGACCAGTGCACCCCGTACCCGGGCTGCAAGCACGGCTACTGCAACGGCTCGAGCTGGCAGTGCATCTGCGACACCAACTGGGGCGGCATCCTCTGCGATCAGGACCTCAACTACTGCGGGACCCACGAGCCCTGCCAGAACGGCGGCACCTGCGAGAACACGGCCCCTGACCAGTACCGCTGCACCTGTCCCGAGGGCTTTTCCGGACCCACGTGCGAGAAGGTCGACAACCCGTGCGCCTCGAACCCCTGCCAAAACGGGGCCACTTGCGCCGAGGACGGCGAGAACGCGGTCTGTAATTGCACGGAGGGCTTCGCGGGCCCGTATTGCGCCACCGACATCGACGAGTGCGCCTCGCAGCCCTGCCTGAACGGCGGGACCTGCATCGACGGGAGGAACTCGTTCACCTGCCACTGTCCGCCCGCTTGGCAGGGCACCGCGTGCCAGTTCGACGTCGACGAGTGCGCCCTCAAGGAGTCGCCCTGCAAGAACTCCGTCACCTGTTACAACCACGCCGGCGACTACACGTGAGTTTTTCTCTCTTTTTAAACCACTCGTCATCCTTAAAGTGGACCATTTATTAGCACATTACCGGCAGATCGGTAAAAAAAAAAAAGGCACATCCTTTTTTTATACGCGGACTTTATGTTGAAGAAAGGAAGCCGAACGTGATTATGTGGTTTATAAATTTTGCCGTGAAGAAAAAAAAGGTAATCCCCGCGAATTTTAACGAAGCTGGCTCGAGGCAACAATGGGCGTCGTATTCCATGGATATAATGCTGCGCTTCGAAAAATCCGTATGGCAATTAATGTCAATTAACGCGCGGAAGAGAGACCCTCGGGTAACGCAGCAGGTGGAAAAAAAAAAGACAAACGAAATCGTCAGACTGTGGCGCTGGTGCAGGCGAGACGGAAAAACCCGACGAGGTGCCTCGAAAGACCGCTCGGAGGCATAATTAATTGCAACAATTTAATTAGCCGAAAGGCTACCTCGCGTCCACCACCACCGCCCCGACGTCCAGTTGTGAATGAATTCCCGCTGTTGCTCCGGTACGACTCCATTAGGGAGCGCCGAGCCGAAAGTGTCAATTACCGGGGCGAGATATTTCAACGCGTGTCTTCCTCCTCCTGCTGATGGCTTTTCTCAGCCGAGCGTCCTCTCCTCGTCAACCCACGTTGTTTGCTGCAGCACCGGTTCTCATTAACGAGCACCTCCACCTCCTTCCTTCGCCTCCCGTCGGGGCACGCGCGACGACAAGAAGTAAGTAGGTACACCCAGAGTGAATCGCACGCGTGTCTCTTTCTCGGTCGACTGGACGAGTGGGTTGAGAGGGGAAAAAAAAAAAAAAATTATGTATATACATTGCCGCAGTCTCGAGATTTTCCCATAGGCGCCGATTTTTTACTCTCGTCGCGCTTTCTCGGAGAAATCGGTATGAAAATACTTTGTACGGAATAGTGGTCTGTAATAAATGATTGTTGAATTTTGAAACAGGTGCAAGTGCCGGAGCGGCTTCACGGGGAAAAACTGTACGCGTAACATCGACGATTGCCGGGGCCAGTGCCAGCACGACGCGCTCTGCATCGACCTGGTCGACGACTACCACTGCTCGTGCACGCCCGGCTACTCGGGCAAGGACTGCGAGACCGACGTCGACGAGTGCGCGTCGAAGCCGTGCCAGAACGGGGGCGAGTGCCGGGACCTCGTCAACGCGTACGAGTGCGTCTGCCCGGTGGGGTACACGGGCGGCCAGTGCGAGATCGACCGGGACCATTGCAGCCCGAACCCCTGCCGCAACGGGGCCCAGTGCTTCAACACCCAGACGGACTACTACTGCCACTGCCCGGTGCGCTGGCAGGGCAAGAATTGCTCCGAGCCGTCCTCGGCGGCGCACAACTCGCTCCTGCTCGGTGGCCTGCTCGCGGACGACGACAACGAGCTCGGCTGCGGTAGCGAGGGCACGCCTTGCGCCGGCAGGGGTAGGTGCGCCAACGCCAAGTGCCTCTGCGATCCCGGGTACACGGGCGTGCACTGCCAGGAGAACATCAACGACTGTAGGGGCGAGCCGTGCCTCAACGGGGGCACCTGCGTCGACCTCGTCAACTCGTTCCAGTGCATCTGCAGGGAGGGCTGGACCGGAGACCTCTGCGACCAAGGTACGATTGTTTCTTTCTTTCTTTTTTTCCCATAAAATAGTTATCGAGTTAGTTTTCTATCCAGCCCCGAGGGAGGGAGCAAAATACTTGACTTGATTTTATGCCAACGTTATTCACATACATATATGGTGTATAGGTACCACTTCAATCTGTGAGTCGCCNTTTTTTTTTTCTGGTACCTTTTTCGAGTATATTTAATACAACGGGGTTAGGGTGCTACATACATATTATAGATTAAAAGTCGATGTTTGGTAACAGCAGCGTATTCTTCACTTCCAGACGTGGACGAGTGCACCAACAACCCGTGTCGCAACAACGGCACGTGCGTCGACGGTGTGGCTGATTTCACGTGCATCTGCAAAAACGGCTGGAAGGGCAAGACCTGCGCCCTGCGCGGGGGCCACTGCGAGCCGGGAACCTGCCGACACGGTGGCACCTGCCAGGACCGAGGGGACGGCTTCACCTGCCACTGCCCGGCCGGCTGGGAGGGAGCCGCGTGCCACATAGTGTCCCCCGCTTGCGCCTCCAGTCCCTGCGAGAACGGCGCGACTTGCGTCAACAGCGCCGACGGTGGCTACCGGTGCATCTGCCGCGAGGGCTTCGAGGGTTCCGACTGCCGGCGCGACGTCGACGACTGCCAGCCCCTGCCCTGTCTGAACGGCGGCCGCTGCGTCGACGGCGTCAACTGGTTCAGGTGCGAGTGCGCCCCGGGATTCACCGGCCCCGACTGTCGCATCAACGTCAACGAGTGCGCGAGCAACCCCTGCGCCCACGGGGCGACCTGCATCGACGGCATAGCCAGCTACTCGTGCGCCTGCCCGGCGGGCCGCACGGGCACCCACTGCGAGATCCCGGCCACGGGACCGGGTGGCTGCCTCGCGGCCACGTGGGACGACGACTGCAACGCATGCGAGTGCCGGACGGGCAAGAGGAGCCAGTGCAGCAACGTATGGTGCGGCCCTGGTAATTGCCTCAACGGGACGGGCGCGTGTCTCGCCCACGAGGTCTGCGTTCCCTCGCCCGGCGAGTCCTGCCTCGTGCCGCCGTGTCCGGCCTGGGGCGAGTGCCGGCCGGTCGAGGCGGGCAGGCGTGTCGGTCCACCGGCCCTCCCTGCCCCGCCGTCCTGCTGGCCCGGCCAGGCGACGACCGGGGCCACCTGCGCCCGGCTGAGCATACTCCTGAGACGCGAGTCCCTGGCGACGGGCACCTCGGTGGAGCTGCTCTGTAGGCGCCTGAGGAGACTGCTGGCGGATCCGCGTCGTCCTCAGTCGGTCGTCTTGCTCTGCGACCTCAAGACCGGGGACAACGACACGATCGAGGTGACGATATTCTCGGAGGCCGCGGCGGCGGCGGCGCGGGACTTGGGGGAGGCCCTCAGTCGGCCGATCGGCAGGCCGCTCGCCTTGGCTTCGGTCCTCGAAGTCAAGGTCGAGACGGCCCTGCTGAGCAACCCAGAGAGCATAGGGACGGCAGGGTCCAGCGGCGACGGGAGTTACCTGGCCGTCCTAGCCGGGGTCGTCGTCACGGTGCTCATGATGTTGGCGCTGCTCTTTAGCTTCTGGTACGTGCGGGCGGCGCGCCAGCAGCAGTCCAGCGGGTTGACGGCGACGACGAGCAGCGAGACGTCGCTGCACAGGCACCGGAGTGATCTCGACGAAAAGTCAAATAATCTGCAGAACGAGGAGAACCTGCGCCGTTACGCGAATCCGCTGAAAGAGCCGGCGGTGGACGTCGAGCCGAGGGTCTCGGTCGTGCGGCCGCTCTCGGGGGGTGCGGTCCTCGGAGGGGGCCTCATCGGGCCCAACGAGGAGAGTCTCGAGATGGTCAGCGAGGAAGGTAGGCACAAGTTGCCACCGCTGTACAAGCCGCCCTGCGCCGAGATGCGCAACAACACGGCCAGCTTCAGCTACGAGGAGGTGCCCCACAAGCCCTACAGCAAGCCCAGACTGCCCGAGCCCATCTGCACCGGCTACAACCACCAGCAGCAACAGTTGCCACCCTGCCCGACGACAAATCCTCACCAGCAGATGCTCACGGTTCACGTTTGAGTTGTCGTTGTTCTTCTTGTTGTTATTGTTGTTGTTGTTGTTGTTGGGTCGGCTACTGCGGATGGGACGTTATTAGAGGCTTTAAGAAAGGGTTTCGTTGCGATGTAATTGAGAGAGAAAGAGAGTGTGCGTCTTGATTTTCTGTAAGCGGTGCGAGATGACAAAATTTACACTTTTGTATAAGCGTGAACGAGGAGAAAAGTTTTTAGCTTAAATCGATTATGAGATAATGGAAATGACATTGTAGTGCACTGCGCGTGCAAAGATCGTATTTATCATTCATTCTGACGCGCGGCTGATGACATTTTTCTTTTATTTTTTTCTCACTATTGATGCTTAAATTTTTTAATTATTTTTTATTTGAAAAGTTTTATTTACTGTTATTAATTTTTTTTCTTTTTTTTTTGTATTCGATTTATTAATCAATAATAACAATTGATAATGTCTTGAATTACCAATACCGATTGATCAAACGATTTTTACGATGCATCTTGTTCTCTGGAGGAGAAAAACAAATTTAAATAATCAAAACTAAGTCTTGATGGAAAAAAATGTCACATGACAATAATTAAAGGTAAAATATATCACCACGACACATGACTGTTTAATGGTAAAAATAAAATAAATAAATAAATAAATAATTATGTCGAGTTGTTATCGTTGTACATATGTACATAGCCTGTACTTATTAATTTTACTGAGCCTGTATTAGCCGCGATATCGCGGCGTTGATAAATATTATTATAAAGAGAGATCGAGCGAAACGAATAAAAGAGAGCGCGAGCAAAGTGAGATGTGCGAAATAATCGTAGGAACACGAGATATGTATCATTTTTCAACGAAACAGTATGTTGTTATATTAAGTGCGCTGTCCTATAGAAACTTTTTCTACTTACTTTAACGCGTAGTTTGTAAATCTTTACTTGCGATATGTGTAAACGACGGCGCAATCAGAAAAAAATGTAAGAATACTAATATTAATAGTAATGAGAAAAACAACAACTAAATGAATAACAAACTACCGGCTCACGGGTTGTGATACTGCGAGGCGGACTTTTCTTATTTACACGAGATTTTTTATACAAAAAGAATCATTAACTTTTACAACGAAAAGTCTAGTAGAAGCATTCACAATCATACGAGGTCACTAAAGTATCCCAGTAATCATAATATTTATAATCAATGAGAAAAAAAACGTGATAAAATTCGTACGTGTAATAAATATATTTAGAAGAGAAAAAAAAAGTTTTTAATCTACGATTAGAGTTTTTCCTTGTATGCTTTTTCTATAATGTACGTGTACATATGGTTTTGCGTGTTTCTAAAAGGCTTTTATCCGAAAGAGTATATAAAGCAACAAAACTCCAAAACGCACACTCGTCTTGATGCACTTATACCTCCTATTCGTGCATGTATAGCAGGCTTTTGTACGTTCCTTCAAACGAGACATTGTGATACTGTTGGAAGCGCGCGGCGTTCACGACGCCAATAATTTCTTGTACTTTTTTCGTCTCATGCTGATCTTTACTGGTTTTTTTTTTTTTTTTTTTTTTTTTTTTTCATAAATAATATCTGTTTATTCTACGGAACAACGAGATCCAGTTCTTTTTTTTGTATTTGCGCACTTTCTGTCTTACATAAAGAATTTTTGAAAATACGTGCGAGAATCTTACAAACGCATTTATTGACCAGAGAACGCTTGTAATGATCGCATAGCGAATCGTCTCGCTTCTGAGCCGAGACGTGAGTAAAGTTATGAAAATATTTAAAAAAGGACCCGCTACGAAGATTTTAAAGTAAAGATTAAAAAATAAAGATTGTATAACGCAATAGATTGTTAAGGCTTCTTCAGTGGAAGATTCGCGCAGTCGTAAAAATATACGTATATTGTAAATAAATCCTTTTTTTTATAAATATTATTATAAATATTAAAAAGAAAGCATTTTTTTTTTAATAGAGTCGAGACTTTTTGATAGTCGTCGTACTTTTTGAACGTGCAATTCGTTCACACGCACTTTCACACAGACACGTACACATACGACAAACCACAAAAACACACCCTGTAGCTCGAATACGTCGTTGTAAGAGCTCCTTTTGACGGAAGACAAGCGCAAAGTAATGAAACGAATGACATGGTGATGAACAAAAAAAAAATATTAAGATAATAAAAAATCACAAACTTTTTATATCATAGAATTTTTATTTTATAAAGAGGAAGAAAAAAACTATATATATATATATACATCGNTGTATTATTAATATTATATTAATTATTATTAATAATAATTATTATTTCGACATATAAAAGAAAAAAGAGCCACTGGTGTGCGTCTTTTCATTTGTTTTCCCAAGTCCCCAAACCACATTTTCTCCCCGCTTTTAATTGCTCTCCCGAATCGAATCGTCTTTACGACAAAGACGTGTATACCTACATCTAAATACACGATATAGCCCCGTGGCTTTTCGCTTTCCAATTTCCCGATAAATCGGCAAGGAAAAAGCCGGGACACGAGGAAGATTTCTCGTCCTCGCGATTAATCGGATATAATGGGATGTAAAAGTCTAGCTCCTCGTTGTGTGCCACACACATATTCACACAAGGCGAGCATCTCGGGGACTTTCAATGAGAAGCTTCGCGGAAGCTGCGAGGTGCGTCCGCCTCCAAGCGTCGATTTTCCATTTCGCAGGCACAGGTATACCTACACGAGGAGGCCGAAAAGGAGGACGACGAGGGACGCTCCGTGCATTTGAATACATCGAGCTTCGGGTTCACGTGTGGGAAGGAGAAGTACAGCGTTTACACATGTGCATGCGCGCTAAAAGACGTGCCTTCCGGGTGTCCTGCTCCTCGGAGGAGAGAGCGGCAGGAGCATAAATGTAGGATATGCGCGCCACGGCTGATTTATATCGCGCAGGGTATATATACACGTATAATCGATCGGCACTGCATCCTACATTATGTGCCTAACGAAGAAGAAGACGCGCTTCGGAGGAGGAGGAGGAGAAGGTAAGGATGTGTCTCTGGTTTCGAAATATGAAACGGAGAAAGTCGGGTCGTACTTGTATGTGCAGGCGATATCGCGAAGAGAGACCAGGCCATGCGGGCATCTTCTTCTTTAGCGCTCGAGCTGCTGCAGCGACCGATTTCGCGGCTCGTGCCACCGATATTGTTTCGGGGCACGTGAGAATGGTACTTTTTCACTTAAGAGATCGTTTTTTTTTTTTTAATTTTTAAATGCTTGTATTATACACTTTGTTGATTTGATAAGTCTACTTTTTTTTCATTCGCTGAGCGAGTCATGACTAAAATGGCTTACCGATCTGTATAATGTACACGCAAACGGTATGAGTCAACCTTTGGAGGTAATATTACATTCAAGTCGGCATTATGGGATGGGTCCGGTGTCCCTCCGATCGGTCGATTAGATCGTTATCGAGACTAGTTGAGGTATAAGCAAGGATGGGAGCGGGGGGACTGTCGAAATTGAATAAATGAACACTTGCGTGTCTCGATACGGGTGGACGAGCTAGCCGTGGTTATTATTTGATACTACGACACGTGGGAAAAAGTATGTGTCGAAATAGGACGAGGAGATAGTTATATTCACCAAATGGAAGGAAAATACTCGACTGGCGCATAGAAACGTGTAAAGTAATAATTGATCGGTCAATTATTTTTGCAGATAACTTCGTTGCGTGTGACTTTTTTTTTTAACCCATGAAAGATAAGAGATTTACCTATTTCGGGTTCATTTTAAGTATAAAATATTTTAAAAATCAGACAGAGTAAGAATGTACGTGTCCTTTTGATCTATTACAAGCGCCATCGACACGGCTCAGTTATGGATGGGTCAGAAGTACGTTATGCAACGTATATGTACATACATTTATAGCTGTGTCAAAGGAAACAGGTGGCAAAACAACAAAGTAACAATGATCAACAAGTAAAAAACAAAATTAACGATTAAAATATTCGCAAGGATGCCGTCAAAATTATTTTCAAACAAGACGACGACCATGACTTCGAGGAAGAGGAAGAGAAGGTTCAGCCCGACGGATGGCCATCAGATTTTTACCAAGAAATACTTGAAGCGATAGAGGCACCAGATACCGAAGCTCCTGCAGTCGAAGAATCAGGATCAATCGACGAGAAGAAAGTACGCCGTTTCATTTGTACTTTCTATTTGCGAAATACATTAAACCAAGTGTTTCCAGAGCGTCGAGACATTAATAACATCGTCGTCGTCGTCATCGTCCGATGAAATCGGTAGTTTCTCATCGCTAGAGTCCCAGAAGAGCCTCACGCACCCTTGCCTGAAGCACATCAGCCTGAGCGACTCTCAACTAAAGTTCCTGGACATATACAACTTTTATCCAGTCCCCAAAGATCCGGGCATAAAAAAGGGCTTCTGGACGCTCTACCCGCATCCAACCCGTTACAAACCGGATGGCGTCGACAAATTTTTCGACGTCGTCAAGGCACTAGGAGCGACTCCCATACCAAGGATGCGAGACCAGTTGACAAGCGAGGAGGTTGACTTGAGCTTCTACGGCGTGGACACCAAAATCGTCCAAGCTCTGTTCGAGGCTCTGCTCAAAAACGACACGGTGAAAAAGCTGAATCTTCAGGTGGACGCTCTTGTTTTTATCGGTGCCTCACCATAGAGATTTTACCCACGTATTGCTAGCCCAATCTCCCTTGCAGGACAGTCCCCTGTCAGAAGAGGCTTGCTACTACCTGAATAAGCTTCTGATGCGAAATGCCGTGCTGAGCTCGCTCAACTTGAAGTTCTGCAAAATCGGAGTCGAGGGCGCGAGGCGTCTCGAAGAGGCGATGTCGCTCTCGTCGGCTCTGACGGACTTGAATCTGAGCTACTGCGAGCTCGGCAGCAGAGGTTTCAAGTGCGTTGCCGGGGCCGTGGCTACCAACACTCTGCTGAAAAGCCTCGACATTTCGAACAATCATCTCGGCGAGGAGTCGGCGGCCAGCTTGCGAGATATGCTGGTACTCAACGATTCGCTCGAGCGCCTGAATCTGAGCTGGAATGTCTTCAATACCAGAGCAGCGGCTGAAAAATTGTTCGACGGGCTCTTGAAAAATAAATCCTTGGCTGAGCTAGACCTGTCCTGGAACTCGATGTCGAGGAGTTGCGTCTTCTATTTGACAAAGTACATGATGAATTCCAGCAGCATCCAGCGTCTCAATGTTACAGGTGGCCCTCAGATTCCTGTAAATGAGTAGGTGTATTTATAAAGTGACAATTCATTTGTAGCTAACCGCTTCACTGACGATGAAGCGCCAAAGATAGCATACGCACTGGTGCTCAACAAGTCTTTGAGAGAATTTTTCATAAGCAACAATCCAATAAGATCCGACGGAATTTCGGAACTTATGAAAAAACTTTCTTCAATCAAGTTCATTGATTCGCCTCTGCTTCTGCTGGATTTGAAATCTTATTGGGCTAAGAATGATGTCCTTCCTGTATTGGATTATTTAAAAGAAGCAAAACCAAGTTTAACCATCTCCTTGGGTGGGATTTTAGAAAACTTTACAATCGTTGGACCAGATTTGAAGGAGCTGTACTTTAAAATGGCAAATCATGAGGCAATGATGCCCAAGAAAAAGAAGGACAAGAAAAATTTTGGTCACTTTGTACTGTCACTTTCGGATACAAATACCACTAAAGGTTTTCCAAGTTCATGGAATGACATCAAATTGTAATACCTTGATCCAATTAAATATTAATTTTTTAGAAGATTTTACGGAGCTACTAAGCGAATCCAAGATCAAAATATCGGACAACTTGGTGAAACAAATTATGAAACAGTTCATGGTGACTAAGAAATATTTAAGTCAAGCTGCCTTGAAAGAGTCGTACATGGTATATTTCCCGGATACCAAGCTACCCCCATCACCTCCAGTGAAAGTCGAAAAAATTAAAGACGAGAAAGACAAAAAATCTAAATCACAAAAAAAGAAAAAGCTACCATAACAAGCACATTTTAAAGGTAATTTAACGTATGAAATTAAATTAATTTTTTTTTTAGGGTAAAACAAAAAAAAGTGAATAAGATGCTACATTTTAAACAAGATAAGAAAAATTTCATCATAAATAAGTTGGTGTATACAGCATGAATGTATAAAAAGTTATGATATTTTACGTAGAACTTAATTTGCTAAAATGTTAATAAATTATATCTTGCGACTTATCTTACATGTAAAGAACAATTTACAAATTTTTGGAAACTTTTGTCAACAACCAACTCACAACATCAGTCATTGTAAAACACTCTTTTAGATATGTCATCCACAATCCAGTTAATGCCTTCCAAGAGATTTTCAGCTGTAATGGCAGAAGCCTTATAAATTTTCCAATGATGAGTCTTTATACTTTCCAAATCTAGAATTTGTGCAATGTCCTCTACTGACACAGCCCCAGGCAAGTCCTGCTTATTTGCAAAGATAAGAAGACTAGCTCCTTGTAGGCGTTCTTCTTGCAGCAGCTTGTGCATCTCTTCCTTGCAGTCTTCCAAACGACGCCTGTCTGCGCTGTCCACAACCCATATTAAGCCATCTGTACTTTCAAAATAATTTTTCCAGTATGTGCGCAGCGATTTCTGACCTCCAACATCCCACACATTGAGTTTGTAGCCGTTGTGATCCAATGTTTTGATGTTGAAGCCAAGGGTTGGATAAATTGTGTTGATTGGTTCACCAATCAATCTTTTGACGATAGTTGTTTTACCAGCATTATCCAGTCCTCTGAAATGACCATGTAAAAAGTTTTAATTTTTAACATATTTAACAGAGACATCATTTTCGACTTGATTGAAAATGCATAACATCTATTCAAGTACTTACAACATGAGTATCCTCATCTCTTTCTCTTTTTGTTTCAATTTCTTTAGTATTGTTAAAAGACCCATTTCTTCTTCAACTAATTTTATTGATTATTACAAACCAAATTGTTTTGTGGTTATTCGGCAGTGTTTCATCGGCAGTATCCTTATTATTTGCTCCACTACTGCATTCACGGTGGATCCAATGTTCCAAAAGTTTGTTTCGTGTACCCTCGCACTTCACAAATTTAACTAGCTAGAAATTATTGACACAATGGATATTATTAATATTATTAACCACAGCTATTGGCTTTTAAAAATAATTTCATAGCCATGACAATGATTTGTTGGGTTACGACTTACGACAGTTTCAGTTTTCAAACAGCGCCATCTAGCGTGGTTGATTCCAAACTAAAAAGCACCTCATTTCCTTTTCCAGAAATTCACAATACAAGAAATTTACAAGAAATTTACAAGGAAAATTTACTAGGCTAGTAGTTTTCGTAGCGGAGGGTCTATTGGAGCCGATTTGTTAGACCCTCCGTTCACTTTAAGAAATTCACTAGGAAAACTTACTGGGCTAGTGTCTGTAGCGGAGGGTCTATTGGAGCCGATTTGTTAGACCCTCCGTTCACTTTAAGAAATTCACTAGGAAAACTTACTGGGCTAGTGTCTGTAGCGGAGGGTCTATTGGAGCCGATTTGTTAGACCCTCCGTTCACTTCCCAAAAATTCACTAAATTTCGCCCTTCAAAATATAGGACTCAAAGATCGACGGCCGATAATGTATTTATTAACGAGCCCTGTCATACCGACGACGAGGTAAGTATCTGGCATACCGACACCAAAGCATCGGTAAGAATTTGATATGTCTGTAATACCGACGGTAGTTATCACTCCTACGGTCGGTAACGCATCTGCAACTTGTATGCTACATTATCGACTTATTATGTCGATAATGCAGGAATTTTACAGTTTTGTCGATACGACAGGTTCCTGTGATAAATCTCTTATTGACTGTCGGTATTTAAGTCCTATAAATTATATATAAAATATATTAGACGCATGCATTGAAGGGCGAAATTTAGTGAATTTCTATGAAGTGAGCGTATAAGGTCCAATAGATCGTCTCCATATAGTTTCTTTTAGTTAATTTTTAGGAAGTGAGCGAAATGTCTGATAAGTAGATCGGCTCCAATAGACTGAGGACAAAGAATATTTAAAGGTCGAAAGTAATTCTACGTTAGCGGAGAATTTTTACTAGCCTAGTAAATGTCACTAGGAAATTTCTTGAAAGAAATATGGTGTTTTTTAAGTTTATTAAAATGAATTTCGAGGCTATATAATAAAGAAAATCACAATCACAAGCGCAAGCAGGAATCTGTGTATTTCCTTCTCTTCCGCTTCTACCGCGCATGCGGTCCCAAAAATGACGTCTTCAACCAGACTCCCTTTTTCCTTGTGGATCGATTAAACTCAAATTAACAAATCTTTTAGTTAGTTGACGAGATTAAGTGAATAAGTATTTTTGCGTTTAGTTAAAATATATGATTCTCGACAATTTTCAATGTTTTGGCAACTGAATTGAGATAACTTTAAAGCAATTATTCGACGGTAATGCGAATCATCGGTAAGTGTGCTCGTTGTATAACAGTATTTTACGTTTATCTCCTGTCACTTAACTTGACAGTTATTTTTGACGTATAAATTTTAAAAAATGTTGACAGAATCATTTTGAGTTATACTTATTTCGTGTTATGTATTATATTTTACAGCATTGATTCGAAAGTGCAATATTGACTTGTCACCCATCAAAGAATGAAAAACAGAATTAGGAGATATTTATATTTTTATGTATAAATTTGTCCCTTAAAATTTGTGACACTTTAGATGTAACATCAGGATGACAAAATGCATCTACTACAGCTTCTAGAATCTCTAATGTTGATGCTTCATCATTTTCATTGATCTCTTCGCTGTCAACATTGCTGGTTGTATTAATGTTATTTTTTTCCAAAAACTGACTCATATTTTCATTTGTTAAATTAGGAATGGTTGAACAACAATTACTATATTTATAATTCAAGTCTTTCAGTACAGATTCATCATCATTTATCTTGGGCATTTCTTGGTTTTTTAACAACTTTTGATTGTCTTTCAACATTGGTTGTTTACATTCAGCTAAAGAACGTTCAATCTAAAAAAAAGACATGTGTACAGAATTTACAAAAATCTTTATTTTGTCAAAAAAGTAAAGTGCTCACTAGTTTAATGCTTTCCAACAAGTCAGATTCTTGTTGATTAACTGTTCTTGGCACAACATCTTGACCAACAGTGTTTGCAATTAAGTGTACTAGAGATTCTTTTAGTCTTGAATAACAGTCTTCCTTTACAGGTAACCACACATTTACACTCATACTCACTTCTAAAGACTCTACGTAATGCCACCATCCTTTAGGAACAAATAGTACATCCTTTGGCTCAAGAATTATCATCTTTACATTACCTAATGTGCTTTGTATTGCTTCAATTTCTTTTTTATTTGGAGTAAAAAAATTATATTTGCTAAAAATCGTCGATTCCTCAAAAGGTACTCTTGTGGGTTGCATTACATTTGTACATTTGGGGGAAAACAGTAGCCACAACTTTCTATAATTATATTAGTTAATTTCTATGATTTTCATTTAACTGCTAAATAATACAAAAAGAAATTTTATTCCTTTTACCTTCCATGTATTTGAGCCACTAAATTGCAACCATAGGAATCTTGATGACAGTTAGTGTGTGCCCCTCGATTACCAATCCACATTGTTGAGTCAGATCCATCAAAATCAAATCCAAAACTTTTCCAGTTTAATGATTCCAGTATGTCTGATTTTTCTTTAAACCATTTACGCATGTACTTGTAGTCAAAGTAAAACCAGTTGGATAAGTTGCCAATACCTTGGGATTTGTTTAAAAATTCTTTTAAAGACATGTGTTCAATTGGCGTATCAACTTCCCACTGAGGATTCTGTAGGTGCATTAAAATAATTCAACTTTCACATTAAATGCTCACGAATGTACATTAATCCTAATTACAACTTACTATTGTTTTGGTATTTTTTCCAACTCTAAAAGGTAGGGTTTGGTTTTCGAGTTTGTTAGCAAGATCCTCTAAGCTCCAATCAAGCAGTTTCCATTTCGACGTTCCCTCTGTTTCCAAAACATTTTTAAATACTACTGGTTCTTCAAGAGCATATAACAGCTCTCTAATTTCTTTATCTTTGTCACACATAACTGAAATAATTAAGTTTTAACAATTACTGACAAATAATAATTTTGACAGGCTAGAACTTTTTTACAATTTTTGTCTATGAATTGAAATTAAAAAATCAAGTCATGAAATAAACTTAAAAGTCTTTAGAAAGCTTTTCACTAAAAATTAATACACCAATCATTTTGTTTACTTAACTATACCACGTATAAATTCAAAATACGGATGAAAACAGTAGATCAGCTGATCAGCGGCCTGCAGCAACTGTTGCTGTATTCCGCAAATGCTGATTTTGTCATTCTGGTAAAGAGAGCACGGTGTAAGATATATATATGTGACTGCTTGCATGTGGCTGTCTGGCCCGATTGGTAGCCACAAAGAGCGGCTGCTAGCATATACATAGGTATACTATAGGCACATAAGAACCAGAAAGTTAAGGGAAATAAAAAAAATATGACCAGTTCTTTATTAATTTATTTAGTAATGTGAATATGAACTGTCCCATTTGTTTTTCAGCATATGAATTCAACATGACTTCTGAAGAAATATTTACTAAGTAGTGCTATTAATCAAAAACAAATAAAATATCTTTAGTTGTCTTAATGATCTCATGTAAAATTTGTGATGGTGAAGACGACGAACATTTTTATTTTTCACTCTATTCATGATTTTTATATACATAACTTCACGTAAGTATATCTTACACCGTGCTCTCTTTACCAGAATCCAGACTCTGATGAAATCAGAAAGACGTGTATATAGATATACTATTGTTGGTAAAAAATATAGATGTACTAAATCAAATAAATTTGATTTTAGCATCGCATAGCAATCAAAAACTTCAATTTTTAGATTAATATTAATGTATTTAAGTATACAAATAGTGGTGATAAAATAAGTAAAATTAATTAAATTTTAATACAATTTTGTAATTATTTATATTTTCCAGTATTAAACGTCTCTATTGTGAAATAAGTTATGCCAAAAAATGTTATACAATGAAGTTGACACTGGCTGAAGTTTTTAAATTTGGAGAGTGTACTGTCTCAAGTCCAAATTTTGTAGAAGGAGAAAAATTACTTAATGAAAGTAATATCTTAAAATGTAAAAGAATATCAGCAACAGATGGTTGTTATGACATTGTGGTATATTGCCTTGAAGCTTCTAACTTGAAGAAGATTCTGGAATTGAGAGGAGAGGTTGATCATACTGGTAACGTCAAATCGTTTAAGTGCCCTTGCAAATCGGAATCAAACAAGTGCAAGCACGTTCTTGCAGCACTGTTATACTGTAGTAGGTAACGTCATTAAAATATTGCTTAATTGAAAAATGTAGATCTTTAGGTGATTTATTTTGTGTTACATAATTATATTCCAGGAATGATGTTGATAAACTGGATTTACTGTCTGGTATAGATGCAAGATGTGTAAAAAATAAGGGTAATGAAAAAGTGCCAGATCAGAATGAAGCTTTTTCACTCCAAGACCACAAATGTTTCAAGCATTCTTATAGAAATTGCGATTCAATCAAGCTATCTAAACATCAAATAGTTCAAATTCAAAAAATTTTATTTCCTCAGCCTGATATTGTTGCAAAGCCTACAGTACTAGAAAAGATACATCATAATATCCCAGAGGAATTTTGTCTGCCACTTGATCATAATTATTCCAAGTAGAAAATATATTTTAACAAATTTTCACCATGTTTAAGTTTGACTATTTGGAAAATTATAACGTTAAATTATTTTTTTACAACTCGTTCAAACCTTTTGTTAATTTTTAATTTCTTAAACGAAACGATACGTTATTAATTTGCTTATTTACTCTAACAATATGGATATCATCCTAGAAAAATAATTTTTGTCTAATAAAATAAAAAATCTTTATTAATCATTATTATAATTACATTTTTTTTTATAACATTTAACATTATATATATATATTTTTTACTTTTATTTGCTGACTTTATTATCCTTGAGAATTGATGAGTTCAAATTTACAATGGCACAAATAGTGACGAATATTTGCTCAATCCTACATACTAGGGAAGATGGAACTTTGGTACTCAAAATTTTAAAAGCTTTTATGCGGCAATTTAGTTTTTTTATGTGAAGACGAGCTTTTGTAAGTGTATCATTTAATTGGTCCTCTTTTCCAGAAAAGGGCTGTTTCTCGGTTGCAGAAAGAGGTTTTATGAATTGCACAGCAAAATTTAAGCACGTTTTGTCAATTAAAAATTCTTTATCAAACATAAGTCCATCGTTCTTCTCAAACATTTTGACAAAACCACTTTCTAAAAATATAGCTTTATCAGTGCTTTTTCCTAAAAACGCTTTACTTATGTATGTAATAAAACCACAAGGAGAAACAGCTGTCATAAACTTGACTGTGTATTCATCTCCACTTGAAGGATTTGACATTTCTTGGCAACACACATTTTTAGGCTTGTGAATGTTGGTTTCAACAAAGTTGACGATAGCCCTCACGCTAGAAAGGCTGTTGAAAGATTCAGGAGTGTTTTTTGTAATTTCTTGTTTGCTTGGCCAATGGATAGCAAAACGTAGGCCAGTACTCAAAATACTTATCATATTTTGAAATATTGCTTTACAGTTTTCTTCAGAATCCATTTGAAACATTACACTTAGCACTTTATAGGTAATATTATGTCTCAACTTGATAAATGTTAATACTATTCTGTCTTTTATCGATATTTTTGGTAATTCCTTAGAAGTTTTTGATCCAGCATGTGCGACAACAACTTTAACAATCTTTTCCAACATATTTAAAAGTCTGAAACTTGAAAGACCTGTCATAATTTGTAAATCTTTTTCATCTTTATAGTAATTCGAAAACTTATCTAAGAGTTCTTCTTGTACTGGTTTTTCTTCTGAAATTGGATGGTTTTCTGTACGATTAATCTTTCCATTGTGATTGTCAACTTCTACAATTGTAGACTCATTGTTGACTGCATTATTAATAATACATTTCTTAGGTGTCTCATTTTTTATTTTTTGTTTTTTACTGTCACCTCTAAGTGTTTGACTTTCATTGTCCAGCTTTCTTTTCCTATTTTCTGCTCTCTTTAGTCTATTCTGAGCCAGTTCTTGTCTCATGACATTTATCTGAGAAACTTTGCCTGGCAGATTAACAGACGGAACTGCTGTTTTCTTCAAATTTCTACTTTTTGCTGGGATATCTGAAACCAATAATTTTATACATACATAACTGTAGAGCATCTGGTAGGAGTGCAAAAACAAATTTTTTTTTACCTGGTAAAAAGTAGTCATCTTTTACAAAATGCAACGAACAAACTCTCGCGTGTTGATTGTAGTTTGGATCAATTTTTAAGCGTTTCAACCAAAGCCAGTTTCTGTCGACTGGTTCATCTCGGTCAAATAAATTTCTGTATCTGACTAGGCTGTCCCCAGGTTTCGGGATAGCATGAAACCGTAGAGTTGGTTCTTTCGATGCATAACTTTTGCACCCTGGTACACAACAGCATGTTTTACTTTTTGATTTGTGTGGGGAAAACCTCATACCGACACCTTGAGAATTATAATTGTTACTCCCCATATTGCTAAAGAAATGTATAGACAATTAACCCAGTCAATTATTTACATGATCAATCAATTAAAGCATCAACTGTCAAACTCACCAAAGATAAGTTTTCTTAGTGACAACCTTACAACGAATGTTGAGGTTAATCTGGATTAAACAATCACAATAAAGCACTTTTAATCAACTTTGCTAAAAGTTAATGACACGAAGTTGTCCCGATCTAAATGTAAAATAAAAACGGCACCTTTAATAACTGAATGCACAGTATCTTCAGAATAGTAGCAATCGTGTTTTTTTTCTTGACTATTATTATTCCTATTTCCTACAGCCGTCAGTTGCGATAATTTCGACGTCAGAGGATATACCCGTAAGTTCCTACGTTACCGACCATCATTTCAAAATAATCTTTTTTATCTCGTGATGCATTTATTTTTCGCAAAATATAATAATATAAGAAAAATCTTTTATTTACTGAATAATCAATTGATGCTCAATCCAAACTAAGTAGAATTGATACAGGACGATAAAAATAAAAACAATTAATGTGGGTCAAGTGTTCGCTTGACAATAAATTATTTCTATGCAGCACTTCTCCTTTATTTTAAAATATTAATATTTTCAGTAATATAGACCATTCGTAGTCTCTTCCAGAAACATTAATTCAAGTAACTGTTATTGGATAATAAAAATGTAAAGAGGCTTTTGTTTAAGTTATAAATGTGCAATTTTATCAGAGTAGCATGAAAAACAAAATTCAGCAATGTAAATAGTTTTATCACATTAATTTTTTAACTTTTTTTTTTTTTAGCGACAATTGTGCCAATATCTACGAGTACATGGTAAAACATAGAGTAATATTAAGACACATTTTTTTAGATTTTATGTCAATGTTAATTGTATTGTTTTGATAATTAACGAGTCGATATTTATTATTTCACAAATTTCAAGTTTTCCTGTTATTTTTGTAAACTGTTGATTATGAATGACGCTAAAAAAAGCAACAGTGTCATTACGCAATAAATCCATCCGTTGAGCTAATAAATAGCGAATAACCAAAAAAATTATAAATTTGAGTACATTTCAATCAACGCAGTCGTGTCAGTCTTCGTTCCGATTTTTCTTAAGCCTCGAGCCATCGACTCTGCATCTTCTTTTGATAGAAGCTTAAGCGGAGCTCTAGGGGGTCCCATGAAAAATTTCGTCGTCAGACTCATGGCAATTTTCATGGTCTCTACCCAAGAACCTGTACTTACATTCAGAAAATATAAAAAAAATCACACGTTTCACGGAAAAATTATGATTTAACTCTGATATTTTAAATTATTACCATAACGTGTAATTTCCCTGATATTCCGACTAATGTACTCTTGTCTCTTTTGCGCTGTTGGCAAGTCGACATTGCCCTTTCCAAACTCGAGCAAATCGAAGGCCGATTCCGTCATGAAATTGAGGCTCGTCATAATGTACGATTCCATTCCTGCTGCACATGATCCTATCATTGTCTGACAAACGCGTCCATCAGTTAAAATATTTTGTATTTACAATATTGTTCATCACTATTGAATATCCTACCATGTCTCCGGCAACGAATATCGTGTGATTATCGTTGATTTGCTTTGCTTGTAGGGCTCGATCTAAATCGGTCTTGACTCCGAAAAACGTCGGTACCATTTCGCCGACAAGTTCAAAAAAGCGTCCCATGTCAACTGCGGCCATCGACAAAATTAATACTTCGACAATGAAAAAAAAAAAAAAAAAGTCTTTCCAGCTTCACTTACTGTTTACGCTTGTAGCTCTGGGAAAATCGTAATAAAACAGGGGCGTGTTTGGAGCAGATTCACCGACTATCTTCAAGTAGTCGACCACTTCATCTACCGTTCTTGGTTTCAAATACATCTCGGGTAGGCACAAAATTGCATCAGCACCCAATTTTTCCGCATGAATTGACTAAAATAAAAAAAAATAAAAAAAAATAAATTCCAGATAATTATACGGGCTGTTACTAAAAATTAATGCACTTGCGAGTTCTTTGACATCTTTTAAAGCTAATCCTCCAACTTGTATCATCAACAATTGTTTTGTCTCCCTGACGGCAGCAGCCCAAGTTTCGGCCACCTCTTTTCTTTCGCTCACGGTGAGTGACGTTCCTTCCCCGGTAGTCCCGTTGACTGGAGAAAAAATGACGTAATTACAGTATAAATATTGTTTGAAATATTTTAACGGGTTACCTAATATTCCTTTAATATTTTTGGACTCGAGGAATCTCGCGTACTCGGGGATAATCTTTAAATTCAAACTCCGTTCTCTGCAATTTTTATTTATTTATTCACACTTAGCAACTGACGAAAAAAAAGCAAATTATTTTTTTTGCACTTACTCATCAGCGTTAAAGGGAGTAAACACAGGTACGACGAGCCCTTTGTAATCGAAGCTGATGATCGGATTTTGCTAAAATATATAAACAATAATGATTATCACTTCTTGATTGTATACATTACACACCACCATTATTTGTTAAACCGTTACCGTCATCTTTTCGTTTTTAATATTTATTCCCGACGCGATGATCCTAAGTCTTGAGACGTCCACGGACGAATAATGCACTGTCCACGAAGAAACCGTCATTTTTATCTCTCTCTTTTTTTCCCTTTCCGTACGAACATATTGAACTCGCCAATATCGCCACTATATACTTACTTACCTCTGCATTAACGAAGGAGACCGAGAGAAGACAGCAGTACGCAAAGTCTTATTCACTGCGAGTTGCCTTTCGTTGTAAAAAAAATACCCATTGAAAAAACATTCATGAGGTTTAGTAGAAGAGTTATGCAAAATTACGTAAAAGATACACGATGGGCTAGGACTATAAAAGGAATTTTCTTGAAAAACAGATTTACAACATACTGTATTCAATTTTTTTTTTTTTTTCTATTGAAACACAAAGACTTATGCATGAAATAAAGAAAATTAACGAAAAAATGAATTTTGAACATTTTTTACTTTTTTTTACTTTTATAAAATATACAATAGTTATATGGTTCTGGATTATTTTAATGTTTGATAATTCAAATAAGTCAAAGTGTGAAAAATATCGCAAACATTTATGTTCAGGGAGTAAGATACATTCAAGTTTTTGCTAATGAAATAAAAACACTATCAGGTCACCGAGAACAAAAATGTACATATAGTTTGAAATCATAAAAAAAACACTGTCATCCAAGTACAAAGTGTTGTATTTTGCAACGCAAAAAAATGCGAATGTAAATGAATCCGAAAAAAAAAAATACATAAACGTATCTCGAGTATCTCTTGATAGTTTACGTCACAGTATTAAGAAGTTGACAGGATGACAGGAGAGCCACGCTATCCGGGGATTGTCTGGTAATTCAAGACAGTACATCCCTCCCCGTACACGTGTGCGTATAAGCACATAATATGTATATAATATCAAAAAGGTTTTATATATCTGATATATTTTGTTCGTCTACTAACTAACTAATTTGATATAGTTTTTCACTCACAGCGATTTCGTCAGCTATACTAGGTTACCGCTGGTCATTCACTTTCTTAGATTTTTATGTTGCTTCGACGCCAGCATTCTTTCGTTATACAACAACAAAAATTACGTAAATATTGAGGACTCTGCGTTAACGTGAATTTTTTTTTTTTTTTTTTTTCTTTTATGTAATCATACAAGAGAATTTTTAATGAGAATCTCGAGTTTTTAATAAACATATACCAAGTGTTGAATTCCATCAGCTAGCTCTTTTATTTTTTTCACTCGTGTATCAGCGATTGCAATTATCCGGATGCTTTCGTGTGGATTTACCGTGTATGTAGACGCACTCGAGTATTATGTAAACAGTGTGCGATGTCGTATGAATTTCATCTCGCGAGTTGGTATAAAAATCTAGTACAAAGGTGTCGTGGCCTTGAAAATTATTTTTGATTTGCAGATTTTTTTTAACATGACTCGTTATATCAGACGAGCCATCGTTTTATTGATGTCTAATAAGAATTAATACTTAAAAAAAAATAAAATACGTTACTGAATTTTTGCATTAAGTTTTTAACAATATTAAATTAAAAAAAAATGAAATATACATGGCTTTAATTTATTATTTATTGAATTGGACTCGCAGAGGCAAGCTGTGAGTCGATAAAATTTTTTTTTTTCGAGTCACCTTCATG